CTTAGTTATACACATGTATGAGGGAAAATTGAATTAGATGTTTCATATCTGTATTTAAAGCATGTGCAAAAAACAAACCTAAGATGCACAACACATGGGGATTTCTTTAAAACTATTTCAGGAAACAAAAAATTTTTTGGCTATAGTGCCTTGGGTCATAGAAGGTCAAAGCTATAAATTCACTCTTGGATGCAGCTTTGGAAGAACATTGTCCTCAATTCGACAGATCCCACACAGATGGACCACCATGAGAGCTTATGTATTGCGTGAAGGCAAACAGAATTTGATTTTGAATTTCTCTTTTGAGATAACCTTACTTCATCAAATTTTGATCATCTTCAAATGTGTATACATTATACATTATTAAGTGTGGAAACATGATGTTTTGACGCTACTACGGTATGACATTTGTTTGTTCAGATATCATTTTTTCACTTGTTCCCTTCACAGATGATTATCCACCACATCACAAAATACCCTTACCAGCCTTATCACCAACTATGGAAACTGGTTCACTGTCAAGATGGGAAAAACAGGTCAGAAAATTGTTGATTATACTGGATAGAGTACTTGAGTGAATTTTATTTGAAGAAAGTAGCATGTAATTCCTAAGTTTTCGGTTTTGGTGCCCTCAAGCCTCATCAGGTACAGGCAATCAACACAGTTTTGTATGGGAAAGATGTCTTCATAGCGACAAAAACAGGAAGTGGAATTTTATTTTATACAGTCAAACCTGTCTATAAAGGACAGTCAGTGGACTGAGCCAAACTGTCCTTTATAGACAGGTGGTCTTTATATGGAGGTGGCCTAATTTATTCATTCAATCATGAATATTAATTAGGTGGGAATTTTAAGGGAGATCATAAGCAAAACATAAAAACAAACCTACACATTGTACAATGAATAGGTCTTTTTTAATAAAAGTCACTCATTTTCATCTGGATAATTACACAGCTTTACTTTTTTACTACAAATTATATCATGTAAATTCACTGAAACCAAGTGATTCTGCCCATGGATTCATTGGTGTATTTAATGCATAAGAACGATTGTCAACGATCGGCCGCATTGGCGTTTCAGTTCAGTCTTTCACACTCTCGCCACGCAGTCTTATTCCCCAGTCTCTTACACATATTCCATCACAGGTGGCAATCAGTCCCATCGTTAGTATTGTCGAATGTACACTGTGACAAAATGCACAGGCAAAGTTGCCATGTTTGAAAAAACAAACAAACAAACAAGCATTAAAAATGAAGAAGCATTGGTAATAAACAAAATTTACCGAACTCTTAACGATTGCTCCAACTCTCGGTGTTGAATCAGAAAGTCAAATGAACCGGAAATGAAACACGATGATCGTACTCGCAATTTTACAGTTTTTTGTTGCAA